AAGGCGGCGCGCGCCGGGCTCCGGAGCGGCTGCCTCGCGGGGCTGACAGCTTCCCGGCTGGTCCTCGCCTTTTCCAAGCATTCGGGACACTGCGAGCATGATCAAAAAAAATGCTCCGTCCCCTTGGGGAAGTGCCTGCCCTTGGGAAAGCGTGTGCGGTTCTCCTGCAGCGTTTGCAGGCTGCTGTGGTGTCGGGGTTGCGAGCGCAGCTGTCTCGCAGTGAAATGCAATCAGGCTGTCCCTTCACCCGGCGGGGGGAGACGAAAGAAAAATAGCACGAGCAATAAGAAGTCACGAGATGTTAACTGTTTTAAAATTCTGATCAAGTTTTATACAGTAAAGACTATTAGGTTTTTTTTTTTTTTTCCAAATTCTCTTTTATAACAGCAATGGACTACGAATGAACTTTGTCGCGTCTCTCCCATCTCTGTTTCCCTGGCTCATTGCAGCAGGCAGCAAGCTCGCGCCAGCCTCCAACTGAACTGCTGCAACGTTTGGTCAAAGCTGGCAGCCCAAAACCTCTTGGAAAAGGTCCTTCTCTTCTTTCTCCTCCAGAAGGCCCTCGTAATCGAGCAGACCATGCCTCGGGAGGGCTCTTGGCACCCGTGTAGCCTCTTTGCGATGAAACCCACAGCGAAGGGCGACTCTCGGAGCTGCCCGTCTGTCTGCGGACGGCTCCAGCCGACTCTTTTCTTTGCTGCTGACGTTCCCTGGCTGGCGTTTGCAGTGGGAAGACACGGATTTATTATATGCCAGCTGCCCATGGGGAATACAGATGTGCCGGAAGACACGTGCTTACAAGAAAGCCTGTTGTCAGCTACGTGTTACCTCGCCTGTCTGGTTGAGCATCGTGATTAAAGGCCGCCCTGGCATTGCAGGACCTGGAAGATGCTAAAGCTCATTACGCGGTGGCAACGTTCCTGTAAGCGAGCAGCCAAAAAGCCCCTTCTTATCCTGGAGGCCTGGTTCGCTCTCAGCCTCGGAACAGCAGCTGCAAGGCAGGAGCGTGACGCCGCGGGCTGTGCTGGTCCCCGCTGTGGGACGCGCAGCTGGTCTCATCTCCGCGCGCGGACGGAGTTGAGCGCTCATTGCGGTGAAAGCTGAGGCTCTTGGTTTGTGTTTTGGCTCTTCTTTTCCTGGATTAATTCTCCTGGAGAAACGACAGGGTTGTGAAGTGGGTGCAGGGCTGAGTTTGGGGCTTGTTTGGTTTTTAAAGCTCTCCTGAGCTCTGTGCGGGAGGGCTTGAGGGAAGCGCGCCCAGGAGCGCGCGCGGGATGCTGGGGAAGGCTGTGCGTCCAGCGGACACGTTCAAACGCCTTTTGGGGCCTTTGATCAGTGGAAATGTTGTCTCGTGGGCTGGCCAGCGAGCAGTTAAACCCTCAGGAGCGTCTGCAGAGCAGGCGGTGCTCTAAATGCGCTTATTAACGCCTGCTGCAAGCCCATCCAGATTTCTGCTGAGCTTGCAATGCTGCTCACAGCCGCTGCGAGCCCAGGAAGGGGGGGTGTCTCTCTCAGCCCACACCCCAAATCCGCTCTCCCAGAGGCTTGCGGTGAGCGCGTGCGTGGAAAAGGATGCGAGGGATGCCGGGGAGATGCTGGTCGGCTGCTTTTGGAGCAGTTGCTTGAGCGTTGCGGTATGCAAACTCCTGCAACCTGGGATGTGCAAAAAGCAGCCCCCC